TATCGGCGTTAGCGGCGTGCATATCTTCAATGAAGATGGAAAGCATCATGATTACTGCGATACAAGCCTGGAAGTAAACGTGGGAAATATATTAATAAACATCGTGAATTGTTGAAATAATTACGATCTCCGTGCATATGGCTTAGGTCTAACAAAAGAAAATTATGTTTAAGTATGGTTATCAGTTTTCTAGTACCCATAGTACAAGCATTGCTGCTTAATTTGGGACTAGAGAGTTATGTCAAAAAGGTGCCGAAAATATTATTTATTTATTTACATAAATGAGGTCCCAAACGTCTCAATCTTAGAAAATGTTGCTGTCCTAAATTTTCGACTCTACGCTGTTGCACGAATGCGCAGGCCCGTCCTACCCGAACTTCACAGAAGACGGGCATGAAGTTGAAGTGTTATACTTCTTCGTTTCGCTTGGTGAATGGGGCCCACTTTAAAATAAGGTGGCAGCGCAACTGCGTTTTTCATTTCTTGTTCATTATGTCTAAATATCCAAATAAACTTTACCTTTTATTCTCTAATTTTGTTTCTAAAACAACATAAAATTTATAAATAATATTTAGACCGCAGCTTGTATTTCTAACAAATTTATTACTTACGTCCCAATTCTGCCAAACTCATATTTTAATTTTTTATTAAAATATGAGTTTTATAAATAAACACAAATGCTTTCAGAATCGACCTTAATATATAAACTATCATTCGAGCTTATTATTATTTTTACACAAATTCATGACATTCTTCTTTATCGTGTAGGATTTTTTTATTTACCAATGATTTAATTTATATTTTATGTATATCGACTTACCTTAGAGACCATTGCGTGTGTTTCTTAAAGTCACTTGAATTAATCCTATTAAGGTCTTTGCAGTCTTGGCTTAAATAGTCTTCGTAGTTTTTCGTTAAATATTGACTTAGATATTGATTGGATCGATTAAGATGGAGCATTATATCAGTCGGATATCGTTTTGTAGTTACTCATTGTCTCGGAATCAAGAATTTGGCTGATAAATACTAATGCCATTTCCTTTTAAGATACATTAATTTCATTTGTAAAAAGTTTTTGGTTTTGGATTTTATTCTCACCCTGAGACCGAGTGCAGGTATGTAATTATTTTTAATTCCTTTTATTTTGATTTAACTTAAGGAAAGATGTAGCAAAATTTACATTCAGTTAATAATATAGACGCTAATAATTCAGTTAATATAGTACGTACAAAATTTTAGATCTATATTATTATATAATTACTAATTATTATTTAACCCTGGTTCAAAAATTATCTGTAGCTATTAGGCTGAAATCAGTTTTGCCAATGTAATGACAAATTTTACTGTTCAAAGAAAAATAAAACTTCATCTGGGAAATAAAACTTTTACTCAGAACCCAAAATGTTATTAATAAGCGAGTTTAATTCATTTGTACCACAGACAGAACTGATAAGTGCTGAGCAGAGATCTTCTTGGGCGAGTCTTTAAACTTGAAAGTCTGAAATGCAATGTAGCATATGCGCTAAAAACTCGTCAATAGGGGGTTAAGAAAAGCCATTGGTTTGCGGAGCCGGCGTACCTTGGAGGAGGCGTCTGTGATCATACAGTAGTTGAGCCAGCGTATCTTGGAGGATCATCGACTGTGACCTGCTGTATGCAGTTGATAATAACAACTATCACATCGGAAATGTAGGTACTTATAGTTTAAAAATGCTATGATACTAATTGTTATGACCAGAATACATTGTTTTGGGATACTTAAGTTATTATTTTTAATTTTTTGATATTGTACTTTTATATTATATTTCAACATTAAATCGCCACTTACTTCAGCTACCTCCGATGCCACCCCGACCCTGACCGAAGTACCCATTGGATAGACATTTATGCTTTTTAAATTTAAAAACGCTGTCTTTAGTAATAACTGAAGTAGCTGTTTATGTATGCTTCACATGGTTAATTTTACATGTATAAAGATCTGAATCCAGAAAATTACTTTGTAGTCGGGACAAATACTTGTCCCTACGGGAATCGAGAGAAAACTCGATGCACCGAAAGCGGTTCTTTAAAAATTTCGGAAACAATATTATATAACTAACAATCTGTGTCATAAAACTAGTAAGAGTAGAATTTAGTCTAAATAAAAAAAAATATTACCTAGTTATATCTAGGATTAGCTTAATTTACTTTAAGTTTTAGTAGATCTCAATATAAAACAATTTACAAGATTTTTATTTATTTTAAATGACATCATTTACAAATAAAAAACACCTGTTAGCGAAGTGTAAAGATTTAGATTTTTTATCTTATGGAGTCTTGTAAAAACTGAGTACTTATATGTGTTTTTTGTGATTATTTAATGTTTCTACACTTTGAACAATTGTAAAATGTCAGACATGTTAAGAACTTCAGTAAATCTACGACTAGTAAAGTGTTGTTATTTGAAATATGTTATATCCCATATTAATTGGGTTTGTAGAATTTGGAATGGATCTTATCTGAAAAAGAAAATTTCGTTGGAATAATTTGCTGTTTACAGCGAACCGTGCCAATATGGCATAAATGATATGGTTTAAACCGAAATTGCTTAAACAATTTCAACGAATTGTTACTTTTTTCCTGACGCCTGCCTGACATCAACCTTTCTTTTCATTATATATTCACTTATACAATTATATTCAAGCGATCAGTCGTGAAAACATAGCCTAAACCGCTTATAATATTATTCAAATGTCGGCGCAACATACCTCCTAGGCAACATACCTAGGTAGGATAAAGGCAGGAGGATAATGATTTAGAACAAATTTTTTTTTGTTTCTTTATTGAAATACAAATAAAATGTCCTATTTTTTATGGAGAATAGGGGCAAACGAGCAGGAGGCTCACCTGATGGTAAGTGATTACCGCCGCCCATGAACACCTGCAACACCCTATGACTTTTCACGGGACAAACAATATAAAACAGGGTTCCACCATGGTAACAAGCTTAAAGAGGATCGTATAAAATTTGGGTGGAATAGTTTGTGCTACTGACGCATCTGGACTACATTTCAAAATCAAGGGCGACATCTCTGGCATCATGGCACGTGTATTAATTGTATTATTTTAAGAACGCCTGTATTTTTTGCATCTGCAATTATTATTGATGCTGTATTTGAATGAGATAAAAACTAAATTCAATACAAATTATATTTTATTTAATGTAATTTCACTCGCAGACTTTCTTTGACATATATTTTATCTTGTTTTTAGTGCAAGTATTTGCGTAAATGAAAAGTTGTTCACCATTTTAGGTACCAATGTATGTGTTCTCAGAGTACAAAAGTATAAGTTGTTTTACAATCACGAAACATTGAAGGAAATGGTAATATTACTACTTCAAGTACGTAATTTTTATACGGCAAATACTTACAACTTAATCTAAAACATTAACAATTCTTAGAACTGCTTTTTTCATAAAGAAATAATGTAAACGAGTAGGTATTTAAGTTTTAATTGGCTGATTTGTTTTCTTTAACTGGATAATGCTAACCAGTCTCTTATCTTACCTAGTGTCTGAAAAAAAAACCAGTCACATTTCTATTTCCTCGGATAATTTTTATTGCTTTTGGAAATGCGACACCATTATCGTACAGTCACTTACACACGTTAGTTTTGTTTTCGATAACTGAAAATAATGAAATGAAACATTAAATTCTTAATGAGAACGGTTCGGTACTGACTTCAATAATTCGAATCGAATACTTCACTGACTTAATCAATATTAAAAATGTTTTTATGCGTTATGTATTTCATTGCAAAAGGCGTGGTGTATTCAGGTTTCGTTAGAAAGTTGCAATTAAGACCTATTCATTTATTTAAAGACGGTAATTATTTAATATTGTTTTTATAGACACGTCTACTACGTTTTCTTTTTATTACTTTAATATGACAATTTAATAATATACACGGTAAACGCGTCGGGGCCGTGGTAATACGTTGGAAATACCGAGGTTTAGACTGACTAAAACTAGAAAGTCGTTCCTTGGTAGGTGCATTTACTTTTATAATTACTGTTATACTATTCTTTTATTATCTATCTCTTGTATGTATCTTGAAAATTTTCGCCATTACATCAAAAATAAAAACTCTATTACACCGAAACTTTTCGATAACATGATATTTAGTAGGTATGATGGTGTGTAAAATAGGGAGATAAAAACATAATTTAAAACTGTTACAATGAAAGAAAGTAATCAATTTGTTAACTATATATCAATTTGGTAACAAAGTACTTATGTATTATGCAATGAAGATTATTATTGTATAAGTGAGATAATTCGGTTACAATAGGTTCTACACTCTTGCATTACTTTGGAAACAAGCAATGTAATTTTAAACCCAGCAAATAAGAGTTACAGTACATTACTTATTATCAGGTGGTCGATCACAGGATAGCCGAGTAATAGGATGATTGTTAAAAAATAAATCAGAAAATATGTTACAAACATTTAAAAAACAATAAGAACTTATCATTACTTAATTTTTTATGATTTTTGGAAGCGCAGATAATCGATTGTTAATTTGATACACTTTCATTCCATTTCCATTTCCAGTATATTCCATTCGCAATAGAAGAAAAGGACGCTACGGAATAGTGGTCGGGTTTTACCCCACTAAGGCATTACTAAGAACTTTTTCTAGTTTCTCGAATTGGTAAATTCGCTTTTTTCGTGATTATGGTGAATTTTCCACCTCATCCGCGCAACAAAATCAACAACAAAGTTAAATTTATAAGACATTGGGACTATAGTAATAATAAGTCGATTAAATTAGAAATAATATAGAGATCCGTTTGACATGTTTGTATCTTATCTGAAAGTTTTCAATTCAGATACAGCATGGTCATGTACGTGCTTTATTTATAAACTATTCGATTGATCCTAATATTGACTGTAGTCATCTGTTTTGAATGTACTAATTACACGTTTTCAGTTCTTGTTTTTAGTTAGAAAGTAAAAATGAAGTGGACTTATATTTTATTTTTTTCGGTAAGTATTTCAAACGTTATTTAGATTGCTATTTAAATTTTAGTATATAACCTTGTAGTTGTGACATAAATTAATGTGTTTTGGTAAATTCGAAGATTAGACATCAATAAATTTTACGGTGGTAGGGCCACGCAGCAGCCTCGGCTGTTGCCGGGCAGGCTCGTCCGGGTAAGTACCACGACCCCACAGAAGACCGGCGTAAAGTGGAAGTATAATACTTTCGCGTTTCGTCTGGTGAGTGAGGTGGCCGGAGCCCAATTTTCAAAAGGCTGTCAACGCATCTGCAACCCTCGGGTGTAGCAGATGTCTATGCGCGGCGGTATTCTCTTAACGTCAGGTGAACCATCTGCTGGCAACTTTTCACATAAAAAAATAATAAAATATTGGACCAATCCATGTCAGTTTGTAATGTTATACAACAAAGAAATAGCATTGTTTTAATATTAAACGTACACTGCCTTAAATATGTTTAGAATGTTGCCTGAATGGAATGGAAAAATAGCTACAGGTTGACCTCAAAGACCGGTGAGTGAAACTGAACGATCCACAATTTTATCGGATCTTCTTGACCCCGCGGTAAATAGGCCAGTAAAGCACTCCCTAAACTTAAGATTATGTTGTAGTACATAGGCCACATCACATTTATGACTACTGGTTCGGTTGCAATATTCTTTTTTAAATCATTCTAAACGTGCGAGTATTAAACGTCTATACGTATGTTCTTTCTCCAGATCGTGCTCCTACTATCATTTCAGCCAGTTGAATCACGAAATGGTGACGGTATGTCATTAAGAATTTTTGACAACTCGGGAAAGTCATTTATTGGGGATGTGTGGAATAGCATCAAAAAAGGTTACAATACTGCTGAAAGTTGGATTGTGGACAAGTGGAAGAAAATTACTAGTTAACAAGAAATGAAATTTAATTCATCTGCAATTTAAATGTATTTTGTGTTAATGTAAAAATATTAGGATAAAGTTATAGTTTATATTATTTATTCATGTAACAGTGTCGTTCGTGCTAATAAAAATGACACGATTTGTATAAAATAATTTATGTAAATAAAAGTCATTAAATCCATGATTTCATATATTAATGTTCTTTCATTTCGTTTTTTTTGCTTTAATTTTAAAAATGAGGTTTTAAGAAATAAAAGTTTTATTTGTTTGAAACAAAACGAAAGTTCTTTATCCATTACAATCTGAATTCTGTGTTATGATTACAAAGACATATGGGTGAATATATATATCACGATATATTCGTTGCTGCGAAAATCGAACTTCGCATGGACTGACGCATAGAATGGAGTTCGAGTTGCAGTGGCGAATAATTTTTCCTCCATTATTTCTACACGTTTTAACAGTAGTATCCCCCCACTGCTTCCCTTCCTATCACCTTAACTCTCCAGGGACACCATAATCAAGTTCACGCAAAGAACGAAATAATTTTTTTTTATAGTGCAATCTCAGCATTTAAGATTAAATATTAAAACTTGTAGAAAAAAGGAACTAAAAGTATCTCGCCGCTCGGGATTCGAACCTACGTCTTCGGGATTCGCGCTCTGACGTTCTAGCCGCTAAGCTAAACGGATGATTTCAACACCGACGGAATTCTCAACGCCCTTTTATCTACATTGTTTTTAGCATTTGAAGCAATGCTTGGCGCATCTATTGTTATAACCTTTCAAGCATACAAACAATATCGAATATAGTTTTACAACGATAATTTGAACGAGAGATGTCGCCATTGCTTTTTTTACAAAGTAATTTTTTTTTATAGTGATAACCTCTGCGCTTACATAAGGAACGAAAAGTTTCTTGCCACTGTGGGAATCGAAGCCACGTCTTATTGGCTAGAGCGTTAGGGCGCGAATCCCGAAGACGTGGGTTCGATTCCCACAGTGGCGAGAAACCTATCGTTTCTTTTTTCTACAAATATTAACGAAAACTATTTTCAAACCCGGAACGGCGCCACCGTTCAGACGTGAGCCAGACACCTGCGGCCGAGCCGGTACCACAAGTATTGACTTGGCATTCCTGTGGGTCCTGCCGGGGAGAAGGATGGGGTGACTTGGGTACTGGGCAAGCTCCTGCTGCCATAAAGTGGTCTGTCCCTGGCACTTCGCCCACCTGCCTTACAGGTGGAAAACAACACGGGGAGTGGCAGTTACCGGTTGTAGGTCGGCACCATCGGCGCCAAGGGCCACTTCCGAATGTAGGAGGATCCACTTTATTTCCACCGATCAGTTACCGCCTGCTCTAAGTCGGGCAGCCCTCGACTAATAAGATACTGATCCGCCTCAGCACCAATTTGTTCTGTCTGGGTGAACAGAACACAAGCCTCACAGCTGGACGTTGGCACTGTAAGTATAACCACCTCGACCAAAATGCACCAAAACTCAAAGCTAACATCAACGCTACTTACATGCGTTTCGCGTCATGGAATGTTCGACAGTGTGTTGACTGTGAGAACATGCTTCACGAACACCTATGGGAGCTTCGATTGCGCCCAAGACCTGCGCAAAACCTATAACATCGACATCGAACTCAAAAGGCTCAACGTCGATATCACGGCCTTACAAAGAGCATAGCCCGTGGTACGTGCGCGGTGGCAACATCGTCACCCTTTACAAGGAAACTTCGGAAGATAGGACAGTCATTTCACGATGGCATGGAGGCCACAGTCTTACACAATGTAAAGCGAAAAAAATTTTAACGCCGCGCAGTAGACATGCGTCATCTTTATTAAAATATCATTGCAAAGAACGATACACAAGAATGAAGCATACATACACGTCATGTGTCTATGGGAACCTTAGTTTGCACGACGTTGGCTATAATGATTTTTCATCAGAAATTACAAAGAACATTTAAAAAAATGAGCCTTAAATATCACAATACTATTTATAATTAAACATTGTAAGAAAGGACACGAAATTTAAAAAACTTTCTGTATTGCAAGTTTTGTCATAATATTTGCTTTTATTTCGCATCCACACGGCGATCAATTGCATTTAACAAAGGGGCTATAAATTGAAGGATGAAGAAACACTTTTGTCATTAATAAGTGCGCAATCAATCAAGTCTGTACTGAAACATCCTGCGGGATAATTTCGAATAAAAACAACTTCATGGATGTCACATCAGAACGATTTGAAAAAAATGTATGAGTATGTATTACCACACACAAGTATATACCGACATAGTTGCGGTATATTATTGTAATGACCAAAGTAAAACAATCTAAGTCTGTTCTGTATGGAAACAAAAAAGACCATCAACGAGGCTTAAATATCTCAAAGTCGCCCTCCGCGACCTTAGAAGCCCCCGTCGCGTCGTCATCCGCTAACGCGAACCCGCCCGTAGCGCCTTCCGCGCAACCAAACCTGACCTCTTTTCGCTCCGTCGTACCCGACTCACAATCGGACGGCGGATCGGACATGGAGGTCGAAACGACCCCCGCTGAAAACGCGAACGCCGACGGCTTCACCGTCGTTAAATCGCGTAAAAAGGGCAAGAAACGCCCCGCTACCGACAGCGACCCCGATTGCGAGGCCGCCTCAACGATCCGTCCCACCGCGACGCCTGCTAAAAAGGCGGCCGCCGCGGCTAAACCGATGCCCGAATCGCCTCTGAGCGAAAAATAAAGCCTCCTCCACCCATCATCATTCAGGAGAAGGCTAAGTGGCACCAAATTTGTTCGTGGTTTGAACGCCACAACATCCGCGACCCCCTGTCGAAAAACACGTATATGGGTATCCGCGTATACCTCAACACTACGGACGACTTCCGCCGCGTAACTAAGTACTTGCGCGAAAACAAGATAGGTTTCCACACCTACTCGTTGCCCGAAGAAAGAAAACTTCGGGTTGTAATCAAGGGCGTCCCGAAAGAATCGGATGTCGATAGGGCTAAGGTCAACATCCGCACTCAGGGATACCTGTGCACGCCGTGCGTCGCCTCAGACACCCTCGCACCCGTGTCCCTATGGACATGGTCATGGTCGAACTTGACCCTACCCCGGAAGGTAAGGCCATCTTCAACCTGAAGAGGGTCTGTGGGCTCAGTGACTTAGTCATTGAGCCCCCGCGCAAGTCAGGAGTTGTGGCTCAGTGCCACAACTGTCAACATTTTGGCCACACGGCCAACAATTGCTTCGCTCACCCTAGGTGCGTCAAATGCACCGGTGACCATGGCACTACCGAGTGCACGCGGCCGAAAGATTGCGCAGATCCACCGGACTGCGTAAACTGTAACGCCACCGGCCACCCGGCTAGCTACAGAGGCTGCGCTAAGGCCCTGAAAACTCCCGCGAGGAAATCTCCCGCGAAATCCACGTTGCCCAAACCCGCGCCCGTTAAATTCATTCCCGCGCCCGTACCCGTCATAAACGCCTGGGCGAAACCCCAGGTGGCCGCGCAGGTAACCGCGCCGGTAATCCCGGTCGCCTCACGACCAATCGCACAACAGCTGCCCGCCTCTCAAACGGCGCCGCGGCCGCAGGTGCAGCCAACTCCGTCAGTTTTCGCGGAAAACAAGGACGACCCATTCGCGCATATCGCTAATATTTGCAGCTTATTAGATAGGATCAATAGGCAGGAACTCGCCGTATTGTCCGCTAAAATAGCGGCCGCCACATCTGGCCACGAGCGTCTTAGGGCAATTAGCCAACATAAAACGCTTGTGGAAGCCCTTTGGGCTTTTACGAGCCAACCGTAAAAAACAATAGTCCGCGCAATAAAACCGCGCTCCGCCGCGTCGTTAATTAGACCCATAAAAACACCTTAATGGGAAATACAACCGCAGGTAGAACAAAACCTCGGGCTCTGGTTGTTTCGTATTTCAACGCAAACGGCATAAAGGGTGAAAGGGACGAAATCGCGGAATTCCTTCGCGATCATAACGTAGATATTTTTCTAGTACAAGAGACATTCTTGAAACCTAGTGTACGTGATCCCAGAATCGCAAATTACAACATTGTCCGCCACGACCGGTTAGCAAACCGTCTGGGAGGCACATTAATTTATTATAAACGGTCTTTGCACTGTTGCCCGCTCGACATTCCAGAGCTAAGTCAAATAGAGGCATCCGCGTGTAGGTTAGCGCTCACCGGCCACAGGCCGCTTGTACTAGTCTCAGCCTACCTCTCGGGGAATAGAACCTTACCTCAAAGCGACCTAGATACGCGACTTAACTTAGGCCCTTCCGTGATAATTGCAGGAGATCTAAACTGCAAACACGGCTCATGGGACACCAACAGCATCCCAAATAACAACGGAAAGCATCTCTTTAGCTTATCCGATAACCTAAACTTTAGCATAGTCGCTCCCGCGACTCCCACTAGGTATCCTACGGTGGACAACTACCAACACGCGTCACCGAGTGTCCTAGACATCATGTTATTCAGGGATGTCTCGCTCGACATCGAGTCGATAGAGACAATCCATGAACTAGACTCAGACCACAGGCCCGTCCTGTGTAAACTGGGCCAGAACGCCGGCGCGGTCCCTCCGACCAAATCCGTAGTGGACTGGCATCGTCTTGAGGTCAAACTCAAGGCCTTGGACCCCCAGGACTTAGTAGACTTACCCGAGACGATAGCTACGTTCGAAGACGCAAATCGAGCGATATCGAGTCTCCGAGAAACTATTCCGCAGTCACAGACTCGGAACGGACGGTGAAACTGTCGGGCGACCGACGGTTTAACTTTCCACCCGACCTAAGACTGCTAATTAGACAGAAAAATGCAGCCAAACGCGCCTTCGACCGATACCGATCGGAATCGAACCGAACTCTACTTCGACGCCTTCAGCTAGAAGTCAAAGATCGTGTATCGGAACACCGACATAAAACGTGGGACACTCTCCTAGAGGACATCGAGCCATCGCACACCGCCTACTGGCGGTTGGCCCGCAGTCTGAAAGCAGAGACCGCCGTTAGTTCGACCTAATAGCGCTTCAGTAGCCCTAGATGACTCCGAAAAAGCCGAATGCCTTGCGGACAACCTAGAGCAGCAATGTACGCCATCGCGCGAACACACCGATACAGTCCACCTAACGGAGGTGGACCGCGTAATCGAGACTAGGGCTGCGCTTCTACCGGAAGGCGAACCTTTAAATTCAGTGACCCCCGAAGAGGTCCAAGATATTATTAAAAATTTAAAACCGAAATCCGCCCCGGGCCTAGATAATATAAGTAATAAAATTCTCAAAGCTCTCCCTGGGCCGCTTATCTGTTTACTGGCGACCATTTTCAACACTCTACTCTCCAGTTGCTCCTTTCCGGACGACTGGAAACAAGCTACGGTTATCGGCATTCGCAAACCGAATAAACCAGCTAATCAGCCCTCTAGCTATCGTCCCATCAGCCTCCTCAGTTGCCTGGGGAAGCTCTACGAGCGGCTCTTGTTAAACAGAGCACGTATTTAAGAGCACGTATTTTCCAACGGCCTTCTGCCGACGGAACAATTCGGCTTTCGAGCTAGACACTCTTGTCCCGATCAGTTATACCGCCTAACGGAGCACATCCTAAAAGGCCTAAACCATCCGAAACATATAAGTACAGGGGCTCTTATCTTCGATGTCGCAAAAGCATTCGACAAAGTCTGGCACAACGGCTTGCTTTACAAGCTGTACACTCTCAAAGTACCAGATAGGCTCGTAAACACCATCCGGGCCTTTTTGTTGAATCGCTCTTTTCGGTATCGAGTCGAGGGCACCCTCTCCACAAGCCGCCGCCTCACGGCCGGCGTACCACAAGGCTCCTGCCTCTCACCTTTGCTCTTTACGCTCTACACGAGCGACATACCCAAAGACCCCCACGTCAATCTCGCGCTTTTCGCGGATGACACCGCGCTCTTTTATTCAGACCTCAACCTTAGAATACTAACCACTAGACTCCAAAGCGTCGCCGACCGCCTCGGCGATTGGTTCCGCAAATGGAGAATAGAAATAAATCCCGAAAAGAGTGTGGCGATTCACTTCACACGAAGTACTTACCCGTCACATCTTTATAATGGCCCTTTATGGCCAACCGTTCCCCTGGGAGAAAAAGGTCAAATACTTAGGAGTCACATTCGACTCGCGTATGTCATTTACTACGCACATTAATAACGTTCGTAATAGAGCCGCGTTCGTCTCCGGCCGGCTACACAATTTAACTAACGCTAAAAGTAAAATGCCCTTAAGGCACAAATTATTATTATATAAGACCTGTGTACGACCTATTATGTCCTACGCATGCATGATCTTCGCCCACACGCACCCTACTCGCTTGTACAAGCTGCAAATAGTACAAAATAAGTTCATCCGCTGTGCAACCGGTGCGCAGTGGTACCAACGCAACGTCGATCTGCACAGCGATTGCAGACTCCCGACGATTCGCAAATATTTTAAATATTTGACAAAACGGTTCTTCGATAGAGCCGAACATCATCCCAACCCTCTGGTGGTAAGCGCAGCAAATTACCAACCCGACACAAACGCGAACGTTAACAAGCGTCGCCCGCGAAACGTCCTCATCGACCCGGTCGAGGAAGGGGACTTAGATACGCCGGACCCACCGCCGGGGGTCCCGCCGGATAACACTACACCCACAGCTAGTGTAACAACAAACACAATAGTTCGCCCTCGCCTTCGAGCACGGCGAGACCAACACAATGCGTACACAAGGTACACCCGCGTTCCAGGGCGGTTCTCACCGCCCCCAGCCACCGATTAGCTAAAAACACAGTCGACGGCCATCGGGGTCTCGGTCCGCACCGCAACTTCGATGGCCCTTAGATGACATGTCGTAGTTAAACGCACGCATGAGCACATGCGCGGCCCTACCCACATCGGAGGGCCCAAACCCGTGGGTTCTGGCTAGCCCACCGGTTCTGCGTCAGATGAAGCTTTAATAGTCTCGGGACTGAAAGCAAAAACATCAGTTAATACAAGATACAAGATACTTCAGTGTTTCGTCTAGTGAGTGAGTTAACCGGTGCCCAAACGTTAAACAGTTAACAGAACAAAAAAACTCAAATTATAACTAAGAACCATCTTGATCATGTCAACCTTAAAAAAAAACTACACCATAAGCGGTCCATTCGTTTAAAAGCTACAGACAGATACAGATACAAAGGTAAAAACCTGAATAATTAAATAAACCTGATAAACTTGTTAGTTTATCAGGTTTAGTTATAACTGACATTTAAAGCTAACTAATTATTTGGTTTCCTTAAAACTTCCATTTATTTGAAAATATATCTGGAGTTAAATATATATTAAGGCTATTTTATATTTAAAGGTAGTCTTCAAAGAACATTAGTATTAAACATTTATTTTTGTTTATTAGAACTATATTATCTCTGTTTCTGCAAATATAATTAATTTAAAGACTGCGTAGTGGCTTTTACTCCTCAGTCATCTCGTGACGCAAATACTAAATAGTTTCATGACAACAAAATAGAGTAATTGGGCAAACACAAGAAGCCATGAGGTAAACAATTCTTATGAGGACATTTTGATATCTTATTATTTTCCTTATCTTCAGTAGCCTTCTTTGCTTCTTGTAGTCTCTATTAACAAAAAATGGGATGCAGCAAAAAATTTTGTTAAATAAGAAATTATTGATTTTTGCACGTTAGGCATTTTAAAAACGATAAATTTGTACGCTATTGGATAAATTTTTGGAAATGGACTGAAATATGCTAGCCACAAGAAATATAAAAACTAATGACCGCTAAACTCTTATTTTCTATGTAGCCAATGATCGCCTTACCTCTCGTTTACATGAAATACATATTTACACGGAGAAAATAAATTTATTTATTTATAGACTCGTAAACCATTATCGCTTCAACTGTATGAACGCGATGACGAATAATTTATAGCGATTTGTTTTAATTTTAAGTTTTTGATAAATTTATCTTATTGTAACAAGCTATAAATACAGGTAGTAGACTGGCTAATACCAGAAATCGTTTCTTATTACGTTTATAAACCTACATATATATTAAAATTAGTGAAATCCACAAACAACTAAGTGTATAAACTACTTCAAACATTCTTCAAAGCCTATCCTACTTGAAAGAGCGTTTTGTAATGTCGAAGAGTACATTAAGGACAAGGATTTGTGGAAATGACTTTTGCTCTGCACTTGTAAATCCAATGCTGATTTTATACTTAAATAATTTTGAACACCTAATTTTAATTATATTAAAAAATATATCAAGACAGCAGATTTTTTAGCCGGTTCTTCTCTGGACATGCCTAGTTTAGTGAACCGGTGGTGATTTTTTGAATTTCAATAAAAGCTTGAAATACGCCTAAGTTGAATAAACAAATTTTGTCAGCCCTTGTCGTTGGCGAATTAGAGGCCTATTGTCCAGAGTATTTTCCTATAAAAGAGAGAGAGCTACCACAATCAATTCAGACCTTCCTGTGTATCCTTTGTGGCGTTAGTCCGCGTGCAACTTTGATATAAACAAGAACGGCACGTTGTGTTGCTAATTCCTTAACGGTAACATTTTGTCTAGTAACTTTGTAACTTCGATATGGGTTTTCGCCCGGTGCTTTTCTTTTGCTTGGTAAGTATTTATAATTACTAATTAGGTACAACTTGTAACGAGACGGAGTTTTGTACATAGATTGTTCACGTGGTCCATTTCAACGCATTATGATATGTGCTAAATAGCATAACCAGGTCACCTGTACTTAGTTTATTCGTGTAAAAGGTAATAGTACACATTTTTATAGAAAAGTACTTAATCTGAAAACAAGAAATGCATTTGCCATTTATGGCAAATGCATTTCTTGTTTTCAGATGTAAAAGGTTAAAGCGTATCTAAGCGATTCTCTTGTTCCTAACATATGAAATGCGACTTCCAATCGATCGAACTAATCTTTTTGTTAAAATTGTTGAATTTTATTTCATTCTTTTGTTATTTCATTCTTTTGTTATTTCTTGTATTTGTTTTTTTATTTATATTATTATTCTGCTGACGATCTTCTTAAATATTTAATTTAAAAATTGTAAGTATACGTTATATTGTGTTTTAATTTGTTTCAGTTCTTATTGATAACTATAGCTGCGTTTCCCTCTGAAGCGGACAGGTCAAAGCGCGACGTAGCCGAGGACGTGAAAAACGCATCGAACGACATGGGGAAGACAATTGGCAACCTAAAAGATTCCGTTATCCACGTTTTTGAACCCACGGAGAAGAGTCCCATAGACAAAATGGAAGACAGCCTGAAGAGTATTGGGAAATAAACGGACAAAATAATTAATATTGCTTCATTTTTAAAATGTATCCTGCAATTATACGAAAATGATATTACTAAAGCCTTTCGGTATGATCAATTATTTAATCATTCTATAAATATACTCCATTTCTATTAAAATTACTATTGTTTTATTGACAAATTTCTGAATTCTTCTTATGCTTTTTACTCCTGCCCTTATTCCACCTCGGTGTGTCTGGCACAACTTGCCAATGATTTTGTTATCGGTATGTCCTAGAGTACCTAAACCTAGTAAGATTTTAGCACAAAAAGGAATAAAAAAAGTAGGCGTAATAATTTCAGCAGAACGAGGGACACTAGTAACTGTTGCTGTTGCGATTAATGCTCAAGAAGGAAACATACCTCCTTTTTTTGTTTTCCCATTGAAGCGATACTAGGAGCACATGATACGTGAAGATCGTGTTTGTTGTGTTGGAGCTGGCAGCGCTAGTGAGAAATTTTACTATTTCTACAGCACTTCAAAAGATAAGCCAAGCAAACAATTGATCAAAATGCTTGCTATCGCTCGACAACCATGCATCGCATATATGTATTCAAGCTCTAGATTTTTAAAAAAATAATGGATAAGTGCTCTGTCGTTTCCACTACATACCTGGCATTGTTAGGTAAGCCTTTCCTTTTTTTGTCACCAATTGAAATGCTATTGCCGGATTTATATATATATATAAGTCCATTTAATAGAAATATATTTTTACTGCTTCTGATTATGCACCATCTTCTGTCACTGAGTGGCCTCCACAAATAAACGGTGAAATTACAACTCATGATCTGTTCTGATGCAACGTACTCGATTCAAGTTGATCCAAATGATAATAATTTTACAGTATTGAGTGACTAGATTATCTATCTATCGAGAACGCTTTTACTACCCGATACGGGAAATGACAAGAGAAAGTTGATACCTACTAAAGGGAAGTGTACAGGAAGAAAGACAAAGAAGGCAACTGAAAATAAGGAAAATAAATTTGACGACAATGTACGACATGTCTTCTGTATCGTTTGTTCAGAAAGCTTTGGCAATAGCCGGCCAATTGAACAGTGGATTCAATGTATTCAGTGCAAAATAGGTTCACATGCCGAATGTGTCCATGATGATGATATTATATATCGCTCAATTGTGAGTCTGAATAACAAAGGCTGTTTATAGAAATGGTTAGGTACTTAAAGTTAAAAAAAGTTGTCTCATTATTTAACGAAATAATAATTTGTTTTGTTTTCTAGAAATATATGTTTTCTATTTTGTTGTTTTTTTATGCGTTGAGCATTTATAATGCAATTTTTTATAATTATGTTATTAATTCAAAGTCTTTCAATAAATAATTTGCTAATTTAATATGTTAAATTATTTTCTTTACGAACCTTTGGCCTGTTACTTTTGACCCACAACGTGTTACTTTCGCCCTGTCTACATGGTCGAAATTAACAACTAATGATTGTCACAGCTATTCATATAAAATACACAATAAAAAGAATGAATGATGAAATGAATACACTGACGTAAAGAATAAATGGACGGTCTCCACTACTTTAAAGGGTAGCAGACAGATATTTTTACATACGGTTGTTCGAAACGCTAAAAATATAGTTTAAAAACAAAAACCCTACTACGACAAAAATGCATACTTGAAGCTGTAAATAAGACTTCAGTTTTGGTATATTAATGTACTAAAGCTACATTTGGTCACAAAATGAGATAAGACTATTTTTGTGTTAGAAGGTGGCAAACGAGCAGGGGTTTCACCAGATATTTAATAATAACCGCCGCCCATTGCGATGTGCAACACTCATACGGTTAAAGATGCATTGCCATCTTTTAATAAAGTACGTCTTGTCTATCTGACTCACCAGACGAAGCGCAGAAGTATAATACTTCTGTGCTTGGTCTTCTAAGAGGTTGTGGTACTTACCCGGACGGACCTGCCCATTCGTGCAACAGACTAGACTTTTGTGTTGCCCTACCACAGTGAAAAGTAATAAGTTATTGTAATACGCTGTCGTATAGTAAGTATTACTAGAACTTATAGCGTGGATACGCTATTAAATTCTAATGTAATTGCTATGGAGTTCTTGTAATTTTATAGATGCAAAGCGTTCAAAAGGCGAAAGACTGTTTTATGTACACCATCGGATATACTTCTGGCCCGGACTAAATTTACTGGCTACAAGAAAAAGATAAAATGTTATAATTTATAATTTTCCTAAGTATCTTTTTACCTCTTGATTGCATGAGATAAATAATTAGAAGAGGAAAAGAGTAATTTACCTATAGACTCGTAGATGACTATCGCTTTAACTGTATGAACGGGATGATGAATAATATGTAGCGATTTATTAAGATAAATTCGTAATATCATAACAATCGACATGGTTCGCAGCCCTTATTATTGGCGCGTTAGAGGCCTATTGTCCCGGGTATTTTTCGTGCGATTACTGCGTCATACTAACGGATAAAACGAATTCAGATCTTCCTGTGTATCCTTTGTGGCGTTAGTCAGAGTGCGACTTTGTGATGAACTAGACCGGCACATTGTATTTTTGAAATTTGAACGATACCATTTTATCCAGTGACTTCGATATGGATTTTCGATCAGCACTTCTGGTTGGCTTAGTAAGTATTGATAATTCTTAAGTACAAATTGACGAGACGCAGTTTTGTATATAGACAACGTACGTGGTCCAGTTTGAAGCGTTACGATACGTATTGAATAGTAGAACAAGGTCATCTGTACTATGTTTCTTCGTGTAACACGTACTAGTCCATGTATTAATTAAGAGTTCCATACATACAACATAAAGTATAACTTGAAAGTACGGTATTATCTTAATTGCAATGATAAACACATAAACACAGAATAACCTTTGTTATATTGTAAGATGTTATTAAAAATTAATTAAGGCTAAAGCGTATCGAAGCGATTCTTGTTCCTTAAATATGAATTGTGAATGTCAACTTCTTATGTATCGTAATATTTTTTCGAACACAATAAAATATGTTTAATATTGCATTTGTGACTTTATTGCTTGTGATTTTATTTTTTGTAGTATACAAAGTGCATATCGTTTTTATTGTATATTATTCTGCTGCCTGCTTTTAATGACAACCAAAGTCGTGTCCCAACAAACTTAGTGGAATGAATAAATCAAAATGTATATATTATGTCGTCTTTTTGTATGTTTCAGTTCTTTTTGATAACTATAGCTGCTTTTCCAAGTGGACGTTCTGAAGTGGACAGGTCAAAGCGTGATGTAATGGAGTCAATGAAGAATGCCTGGGGCGACATGGTGAAGACACTGGGCGAAGCGGGAGATGCTGTTGTCCACGTTTTTAAGCCCACGGAGAAGAGTACCATAGACAAAATGGTAGACAGCGTGAAAAGTGTTGGGCAATAAACGGCCAACCTAATTAAAATGACATCACTTTTAAAATTTAAACTGCAATCATCCAAAACTGCTGTTAACGGAGCCTTTTGGTTAATCGATCATTTTATCAATTGTCTAAGCCAATCAATTACTTTACGATTCCATAATTATTAAATAATAGTTAATTTTTTTAAAGTCGTTATTGTTTTATTGAGAAATTACTAAATTATGATACTTTAAAATGAATTACTATCAATAAATAGACGATATATAATGAAAATTATATGACCAAAAGATAGAAAGAACATTGATTGTGAAACTTGGTGGGTACATAGGTGACATTCCTTAAGTAATATTATGGTCAATAAATAACAGGTTTCTCACTGTAGTGAAGTGTGTAGTTACACATCGCTACAGTAGCGCTCTGATGGCAGATCAAAGCTGACGCCTTTGTGGACGTCCGCGTCGGCTGGGCTGTCGTTTAGTATGTCAATAAGTTTCTCGGTACTCGGCTGCAGGTGTGGAACAGGACTTTCCGGATAATCTGGTCGGCTGACATAGTCGTCGTCATGGTGGTGACGCGATGGCATGTAGAAAAAACCCGCGGTAATCTCCTTCTTGCCGCATTCGCCCTGCTCTTGCGCAATCTCGACATTTCTAATCCGCAAGTCGTCTATATCATACTGGTAGTGCTCGGGCTTGTGTCGCTCTCTGCAGAACATGCAATACGCTATCCACGCTATTAAGATCAACGCCTGCAACAAATAACATTGTCGATCACTTTCCCCGATGATCTTGTACCATAAGCTAATCCGATACACATTGAAAGACTCACCAGAATCACAGAGCAAATAAATCCAACGATGAACGTGCTCATTTTTTTTAACGGAACGTATTTTTGACGGCGCTGGAGTGAGACGTGCCGCGAGCGAGGTCAGATCGCAACAGTCGGCGACCGGTCACCGCGTCGCACTCAATTAAAGCCAGTTGCAAGTCTTTAGCGAGTGATGTCATTGGGCACGATTGAGCCAGCTTCATTTAGCACAATAGGTTTTATCTCGGCCTCGGATACGACGAATACAATCAACTCTCACGATACAATCTTAGGATGAACAGTATTGATTAAAACAATGATTTTCCATGATTATTTGCAAATGAAATGTATGTAATTGTTACGTTTGTTCACTTTTAATTTTCTTCAACTCCTAACTTGCGTTGAATCTTATGATAAAATATCAATTTATAATTTATTTTATATGCTCTTTTTATACTGCTATAATTCTGAATATGCGCCAGACAAATTGGATTGACACCACTAGTCAATTGCGTGTCATGTTAAGTTGTCATTAATTATTTGTTAATTTGAGGCTGAAATGTTTCCAGCGGATTCCTTTCTCGACTGCTCGGAATTTTCTAACTGGTGTAAGGGTTTCAAGCCGCAAGAGCAGAAAACAAGCCCTAATTAAATCTTATTAAAAGTCAGTTAGTCATTATTTTTTCAAAGATCGGTTCTTTTCACTTATCAAGTTTAAATCGACCACCTTTGCAACAGTACAGTTACTGTTACAGAACTAAACTAACTAAACAGAATTATCACCAAAAATCTGCGGTCCAATACTTATTGACTTTTTAAAGAGATTAATACAATAACTTGCAACAACTAACACTAGCTGATGCTCGGTGCTTTGCTATCGATGAATAGATGAGTTGTCAGAATGACAAAATCTGGTGGTAAATACAGTGAACTGAGTTTTTTGAGAAAAAAAAAATTGTTGAATTTTTGGTAAAATGACATTTGTATGTTCTCCGCGCCACTTCCTCAACCCGTCGCACACATTACTGTTAATAGTGCTAAGACATAACCAATTAGTACATCCTCATCTACGAGCATGGCGAAATTAACACTGTGTGCAAAAGGTACATATACGCATTCCAGGGCGGTTCACGGTCCATCCCGAACCTAGATGACCAGTATGACATACCTTTCATTTAAGATATCGCACGTCTGAGCACATGCGCGACCCTGCCAAATGCGATGGACTGCTTCAAGCCCGTGGGGTCTAGCTAGGATATGAGTTCTGCTTTCGATGAAACTTTAAAAGGCTACGGACTGAAAACAAAAATATCAAAGTAGTGGTGAAGGAGATGTCTTTAGGCGGAATTAATATCCAGAGTAAGGTCCAGATCAATTTCACCTTCTCACATAAAAAAAGTATTTCAAAATTCAAACGAAAGTCTGTCTGAACGTAATTATAACATTATCAGTATTCCGCTATAATTATTTAATAAGCCGAACTATGTCTACAAAAGGAGTGTAAGCCGTCAATATACGCCAGCATAAAACGCCAGTTTCGTACTTCAACCATTCAGAAAATATTCCAACGATCCCTGTTCTGAGACGTAATACAGACTGAGTTAGCCGACCCCACACAACTTTGTAAATTACAAAAAAAAATTGCAAAATACTAAATGTTAAATGATCTCAATCTGATTGTTACTGATTGTTACCAACGTTTTGGTTTTCCGCGTCCGTACAGCGGACACCCGACCGTGCTTTTTTAATTAATCTCTGGGTGTAATGCAGTATGCATTTGTTGTCCATGCAAGGAGAAGTTTATCGTCACACAGTATCGAACCGCATTGGCTCTACTTTAGGGTTAGGAATTTCTGCAGAAATGGCATATTCAATTTGAGCTGTGTATTTTTGGTTTTGAGCCATATGAGTTTTTGGAATTTCTCCCATCGGCCTTTCAATCGCAAACATCCAATGCCGTTTTCACCATAAATGTGATGTCCCTTCTGGGCCCCACCGCAGGCCGGCCCAGTGTGGGTTCATAAACACGAGCAGTGACAATTCAAAACAAGGAGCTACAGACCAGGTTCACCGCTGGTGTAAGAGGGCCGGCTGTAAGCACTTACTTCCCGATGTTGATAATATATTGATGATGATGATAATATATTAAGGACCCAATTAACGAAACTACTGTGGGATGAACATAGCGTTTTTCTAGTGTCTGGGTGCTCATATATCAATAATATGTATTTACTTTCAAAAGAAAAGTATGTTTAATTATGTTTTATCAGTTATCTAGTACACATAGTATAAGTTTTGCTTAGTTTGGGACAAGATAATGTTGTTTAAACATATGTTTGAAATATTTATTTATTTGTTATTGGAAAAAAAAAAATTTCGACAAAATTGTTAAAATTTCGACAGCTATTTTCTGACGTCAATTTAATTTAATTCTAGATTGTACATAGCGCAATTAGAGTTTTGTAAATACAAATTAGGAAACTTTATAAGAGACTGGCCGCATCTGTTATGATTCTTCTTCTTCTAGTATTTTCGCCGTGATAATGGCGAAAATACTTCCATTTATTTAATTTAACTTTTGTCTCAAATCAAACCAATTTGTTTCCACAGAGACAGGGCAAATCAAAACGTACAAAATGTACGCAGGAAATCCCGGACTCCCTCCAAACGTGCAGAAGGTGGCCATCGAGGAGGATTTTGTAAGAACCCCACATAGCCCTGTCATGTGAGGGATGACAGGGTAAAAAAAAACATAAATATATAAAAGATAAGGTGCTAGCGCGCGATGATACCCACAACCACTCTAGCAAACGAATAAACACATTAAAGTTTTCTTTTTAAAGTTTAAACGAATGCATTATATCATAGGTGGACATTAAAGATCAATGGGTACAAGGTGGAATAAAAAACGTTTTAGTTAAAACTTACAACATATTATTAAAAAAAGAAATACGCCCTACTATTTAGTTACTGCAGATGGTAGACGTCGTTTTTTCACCGTGGCTCTGGACCTGCAGGGAAATAATTGGTTTATAAATGATTATAACCCTATTTTATAGTTGAACAAGATTGAATTTATATGTCAGTTTTGTAAAAGTCTAATAAACACAGTTTAATTGAACTAACCATGAATAATAAATTCACTGTTTCATATAACTAGAATTAAGAACGCTCTTTTTATTTACAATGAAATAATTAAATACTAGGTCTCCATTGCTTATATTGATATTCGACCGCTATTTAGAAAATTTTATAAATTTTTTTTCAGTCAATCTTACATTTAAAATTTCTTTGGCAAAAATCTTCACTCTGAGTAACTGTTTTTTTAATCTAATAAACATAAAAATACTTTAATATATAATTATTAAAATAGCAACTCGGAAACCTCGAAAGTTTGTACAGGCGCTATTGAGTTTATAAATAATTATGTAATAGAAAAACGAAACAACAAAGCAAGTTAGTTCAATGTACTAAATTAAAAATACAATAAGGTTTAAAACTATGATGTTCTGAGACATATAAATTAACTTGATAACGGACTATGTGCCAGGTTAACATTGACATTGATGTAAACAGAATTTTTTGAACGAATTGATTGAACGTAAACATAGAATGTTTTATTTTATTTTATGAATTAATAACAAATAACATTTATAACAAATTCATCATCATAATCATCATCATCAGCCGCAAGACGTCCACTGTTGAACATAGGCCTCCCCCTTAGAACGCCCGGTCGCCCGCGACTCTTATGATGTCGTTGGTCCACCTAGAGGGAGGCCTTCCAACGCTACGTCTTCCGGTTCGTGGTCGCCACTCGAGAATCTTTACTCTTAACTTAACCTTTAACCCCTTATCTTTAATAACAAAATAATTAGTATTAATTAGTAAAACATAATACAACATTTAGCTTTCAGAACTTCTTCATATAAACTATAACTGTTCTGTAGCAACCTCACTTTTCTTAAAAGGAATACTCTTAAAACGCTTTCACTTCATGTATTAGTGTATAGATGTATTTTATGATTAGTGGAATTCGTCACTTAAGCAACAAGCGTTATGTCTTCTTCGTTAAGACGCTATCTAAATGTTAACATTTCCATTTTTTTTACCATCTCTCAATTTTTTTTATTTAGTTGGCTTCCAGTTTTTATTCAAAGGCTTGTAGTTTATATGGAACTTCGTTCCAACAGGGTGAATCACGGCACTCTCCAATGTGTAATACATTTATAGATGATGAAACACAGAATTGCAGAAACTTTTGAGTAAATTAATCTGTTTAATTATTTAAAACATTGGTGTGATTTATGTTCAATTGCCCAAATAAATGCCTTTTTAAAGATTTCCTGCATCCGTGTGTTTGTTCCGGCTACTCTTTTAACGGCTGAATAAACTTTAATTGAATTCTATTTGGCAGGTGGAGAATTTGAGGGAGTAATCAAGACTCATTTTTGTAGACTATGTGAGACACTCATAATTTTTACGAACTTTTTATTTCGTGTGTCATTGGTTTGGTTTACCACTAAGCGATTTATGTCACAGGTACTAGAGCCGCCTATCAATAACACGTTTTTATAATTATCCATACTCACCACTGCTGTCAACGACGGAAACTGCAACAAAGGAATCTCGATTTTTATTTGTCATTGTAAAAACCATATAAAATGTTTTTGGTATATTAAAATTAAAATTTTATGTATGTATCTTAGCGAGAAAGAAACTTTAAAAGAGAAGATATAAGTATTCTATTGCCTAAGATTGGTACTAACAAATCTTACTGTGGTAGGGCCACGCACAGTGTTCACTGTTGCATGAATGGGCAGATCCTTCCGGGTAAGGACCACAACCTCACAGAAGACCGGCGTAAAGTAGAAGAAGTATTACACTTCTGTGTTCGTCTGGTGAGTGAGATAGCCGGAGTCCACTTTATTTAAAGGTGGCAACGCCCCTGCAACCCTTCGGGTGTTGCAAATGTCCACGGGCGGCGGTTATCACTTAGCATCAGGTGAACTGCGAGCTCGTTTGCCACTTTCTCACATAAAAAGAAAATGAAAAAGTCAACAGTACCTTGTTCCCCACCGTCAACGATGTTCACTGTAAAAAGTAAATATTTTTATAAATAGTTATGATTTTTGGACGTATACTTACGTATACTTTTAATATAAAAGTTATTATTTTCTTTCTATATATTATAGTAAATAAAAAAAAGATTTGTTTGATATTAAGTAAATAGTCAAACAAATCATTATTTATGTTATAACATATTTTTTCAAGAAATATAACAAAATAATATCTTACCTTGTTCATCTCCGCCAACAACGTTAACTGCAAAAAAAAAACTTATTTTATGAACTACCTCATAAAAACTATTCTATCACGAAATTATTTTAAAGTGTGCACAATAATGAAAATTGACTTAATTGACTTTGAAATAAATTATATGACAACAATTACCTGCACCTGGATCTTGATCGGCCACGATCACTACAAATGAAAAAATAATTAAAGAAGTATTTAAATGAGATTAATTAAATATTTCAAATATAATAAAATAGTTAAATCGATGTGTTTTGCTTAACACTTACCCGATTCCGAGTCTTCTGGAATAAAACAAAAACATAGATCATTAAAAGTTTACCAATAACCACTGTTTATTAATTTGCGATGGCATTCACCAATGAAATAAATACATTTTTTTAAGTTGGAATACAACTCAAAAGAATTACCTTGTGGACGCGCGACCACCAGCGCAAACAAGGCTACCAAAACGAAAATAATCTGCAAAAATTTAATTATTACGCAATAAAAAGAAAATGAGTAAAACTTATATTTCCCATTCCAAAAAAGTTGTTTAAGCCCTTCTATTACAGATATATAGGTGCGTACTAAACACTAGATTATCTTCGTAATTAGTGCACTTTTTGTCACTGAAAAATTTAATTATTACGCAATAAAAAGAAAATGAGTAAAACTTATATTTCCCATTCCAAAAAAGTTGTTTAAGCCCTTCTATTACAGATATATAGGTGCGTACTAAACACTAGATTATCTTCGTAATTAGTGCACTTTTTGTTACTGACAATGTGTAAAAAAATATGTCATATGTGTAATTCATAGTATGTACCTGAATTATAAAATAATTTTAAACGAATTATTAGTACTTAATTTTCCAATTAAACGACATAGTCGAGAAAAATATCAACCATAAGAAAAATGATCACCTGAAGACTACAAATGCCACGTTGACTAATCTGGCAATGTGGCAAACCGGCCGACCACAGGTGTATTATAATTACTCGATCTAGAAACTTATACAATATCGGTTGCATTGCTAACTTTTCGAAGATTGGTTCACCAAACGCAAGGCAAAAATACAACATATATATATTATGCGATATACATAACTAATAGTTTCCACTTAATTAAGTTTCGTCATCATACTAAAATATCCTACTATGAATTTAAATATAACATCATTGAGATGTAAATTTTATTGAAATTATTTACAAAAAACTTTTCAAATTCAGAAATTATTGGCAAAATTATTGGATGGAAATATTAAGGAATACGTACAGTAAATTTAGACATGTTGGCTCTGAAGATCAACACTAAATAATTGTCGGGATTTTTTAGCTTATATATATCGATTCCACATGGATGTCGTAAAAATAATAGCCGATAACCTTTAACCCAAGTAGCAAGCCTAGTTCATACACACATACTGTACATAAATATTGGTCACCATTTTATTCATCTATTGATTGTTATTTACCTTACTAGTAGCCTATATATATTCCACTGCTGGGCAGAGGCTTCCTGCACGGAATGTATTAGGATACAGTCTACTCCCGGCAATGTGCAGAGTTCCGATATTTTCCAATTTTTTTTCTGTAATTTTCAAATTATGCAAGATTAATGGCGACGAATTTCTATGCTAACGAGAACGTCATAGAGCAGAAATAAAAATTGTAAAAATAAATTGTAAAGCAATATCTTTGGTAGGTACTACTTTTTTTGCAAAGGACAGGAATTTAAAATTCTTTATGTACACTAATAAAATTATGGTTCTTTTGTCTAATAGATTAGCGGATGATACGTAACTGTCCATAACCTGAATAGTCAAAATATAAACGAGATCTGTCTTGTTCCTATCTTAAAATATGTCACGGATTTATTACGTAAGATAATATTCTACTTAATTGTAAGTTATCAACACTGTGGCATTTGTTAAGATAATTGGTGCTCTTTCCTTATTTATATCACATGTTCACACAAGTTGCAGCTTTATTTTATTTTTAATCAAGTCTATTTTCAAAGCCTATTCAAGTTTATTTCACTCTATAATCTTTAGTCAATAATATCGCTGATAGACTGAATTTAGGTTTTTAAAGATCAATCTAAAGTGTTTATTTTTTAACTGAATGACGTTACAACAAAAACAAATGATTAATTGTTCTTTTTTCGTTATAGCGTCTTATGTTTCGTGCGTATCATTTGAAAATATTTATTAAACACTATTGTACAAATAGTACATTAAGTACATAGAGAATTTTTGTATTATATGAAAAAACATCTTATATGGAATTATGAATAAATTAATATAAATTCAATTTAGTAAGGGGTTTATTTTCTTTCCTGATTAACTGGATGTAAAATTTATCTGTAATGATTTAAAGTAAGGTATGAATATAATATGCAAATATCATAGAGAGAAATATGTTATAACTTTTTTGATGTATTAAATAACTTAATTTATTTAATAAATCAAAAATGTTATACATAGCAATAAATCTAATGTCTTCCCACGCGCCTACGATTAATTATAACAAATTCGTAGAAGAAACCAAACAATGCTAATATGTTCATTTAGATAACGGTAGAAGCATATTTAATCGATTCGATTTAGTACGCTTAAAACGCGGGAGCGTTTGCATCGACACTGGGATTTTTTGCCAACAGTTTGTACAGTGAATGTCGAATTACCTTCATGTAAAAATTCGATTGTCTAAATGTCGAATTATCTTCATATAAAATACTTTAGTTCATTCAAGTATTTAAGAAACAAATACTTGCATCATATTCTCGTAACTGTTTATCTCATATAGAAATCAATAAAGCCAGGTGTTGCCACTCGACTTACTCTGTAACTGAATGGTCTAACGGATACTATAAACTTGGCTCTCTTTTAGATTTGCTGAAGGTATTTACAGTAAAAACTATTGAAGTATTCATTGCATTCGTTCCTGCAACGTATTATATTCACATATTCACGTTTGGGATTTGAATCTTTCAGTCTTTAAATGTGGAACAAAATGTCTGGTAATTTAATTAAGTATAAATAATTGGCAAAGCTAATATGATAACACAATATTAAGCACAAATGTTTAGTTGTATTTTATAATATAAGTATAATTATAACGTTTAAAGTTTTAAACTAGAAGTTATAACAACATTCTTGCAACATAAAAAATTGTTACTATCATTACTTTAAAGACACCAGAAAAAATAGAGAGTGTGCGCAGCACTTTTGTCGTTTGAATTCCTTAAATTTCTTTAATATAAGACAATACTTTACGCAAAATATAAAACATTTAATTAATTTGAGAGTGAATTAAGCCTTATCTGCTTAATTTTCTAAGTTATTATTCAGTTTCCGAACTTATATGCATTTATTTAACACGATACATTTGTATCTCCTCTGTTGTTGTTAATGTCCATGGGAGGTGGTTAATACTTATTACCATGACCCGATTACTCTTGTGTCGCAATTTTACAAAATAAAAAAAAATTAACAAAAGTAGGTTCTCTGATTTTCATGCTCGATTTTACATAATGCCGATGTTTTGACTTTATTATCCTAAGTAACGTGAGTATATTATTTTTAATTATTTCTAAGGCTTTTGAAAAGAAAATAATATATATTTGTTAGTTATTTACCTGAGGACGATATATCATTTTTTTAACCATAATTGAAAAATAACGGATTTTCCTCTTAAGCCTTATCTCATGGATTGGACTAAAACTATTCATGTTAAAAGTAATGGTAACCTGGGGTAGGTTAGATAAATTCAGGGCTGCTGCTGAGAAAATCGTGGGATTATTCGCCAGTCGACCGTGTTTAACGCATCGTATTTACGTTTAAATTAAACGCAATAAATTAAGATGAACAATTTTAATTTAATGTTTCTAATTTTAATTTCATTTCATTCTTGAGCGGCCGCGGCCATGCATTAAGAAGACAAGGTCGAACGCTTTCTCACTGCAATAGCTCATACAAACAGATGAGTAAACAAATTGCAAAACAGCTCAATGCCAGTGTCAAAGACTGTTTAGCGATATATTGCAAATGGTTATTGAATTATTTGTTTTAAATTTATTGTATCACGTCGAATCATCCAATTAGAAACATCTAACTACGTAATAATAAAAAGCTTTCAATCGACTGACACATAGGTTGAAATGATGATCGCGAGACGGGGCGTGACCTCGAACTTATCCACTCACCCTGTTGAAGGACCTCCTAGGTCCGAAACAAATCGGTACACACATCGATTGAACTTAACTTCAGCCATGTTATTATTTCATTAATAATGTCTCATAAAAGTTTTAATAATTTAAAAGATAATAAATATATCTATATATATACTAAGGTAATGCGTGCCATCAGCTAATGCAATTTATTGGTACGGTTTTCTGTAGATGTGATTGTGTAGATTCTGGACTAATGTCTGTATTGATCGGTTTGAATGAATATTTTAATTTAATGTTTCTAATTTTAATTTCATTTAATTGGTTGAGCGGCCGCGGCCATGTAAGAAGACAAGGTCGAACGCTTTCTCACTGCAATAGCTCATACAAACAGATGAGTAAACAAATTGCAAAACAGCTCAATGCCAGTGTCAAAGACTTATATTGCAAATGGTTATTGAATTATTTGTTTTAAATTTATTGTATCACGTCGAATCATCCAATTAGAAACATCTAACTACGTAATAATAAAAAGCTTTCAATCGACTGACACATAGGTTGAAATGATGATCGCGAGACGGGGCGTGACCTTGAACTTATCCACTCACCCTGATGAAGGACCTCCTAGGTCCGAAACAAATCGGTACACACATCGATTGAACTTAACTTCAGCCATGTTATTATTTCATTAATAATGTCTCATAAAAGATTTAATAATTTAAAAGATAATAAATATATCTATATATATACTAAGGTAATGCGTGCCATCAGCTAATGCAATATATTGGTACGGTTTTCTGTAGATGTGATTGTGTAGATTCTGGACTAATGTCTGTATTAATCGGTTTGAATGAATATTTTAATTTAATGTTTCTAATACATTATTTGGTTTTGTAATACATTTGTTGAATGTTGATGCATTTTAGTTTAGCCTTCATAATGAACATTCATTACATAATTATCAAGTCTATATCAAAAACTATATTTATAAACAACAGTTGTTTTGTAATCAATGATATAAAGATACTATGAACTATAGCACCACAAATATGTGATTGAAAGCAAATAGAGTCATATAGCTATTTTTATTTGAATGTAGACTAATTTATGAATATCCATAAATGTATGACAAAGTAATGAAGAAAAGAGATGCAAGGTAAGTATAAAATGTACCAAAATAATCACAGAAACAAACAAACAAATCTGCAATGTCAGTATCGGAGCCTCCCAAGTATGTTGCAGCTGTTGAAACGTGTTATTATCACGTACCGGCTAAATCTGATATGTGCCAAAGATACCATAAGTGCAATCTACGTGCTGTGTTAGCGTGTGCAAGTTTACAATTGGCCGTTGTCAGCAATATCCGCATCGATGTCAGCGGTGTTTGCATAAATCGATTTAGTTTGCCGACCAATTCGAGCGACCACGTTTTCCTTAATTTGTCTATATATAAGAATTGACGTGCTATAGTGATCGCAGTTTTGGCAGAGCTGAACTCGAAGCTTCCAACGTAAGTTGATTTTGGATTGTGATATTTCGTTTTGTTTTTTAACGCTTAATAACAGATCTGTTTTGGATAAACCGCTGGCGTTTACCCATTGTAAAATTTCCTATTTGTTTTAAACATATTGGATGTAAACAAAGTTCAGTTATGCCATCGTTTTAAATTGATTTTAATAACTGGCTATAAAAACAGGTTACATATTACATTATTTGCGATCTACCTACACAATTTAAACATAACTGCTAACGTTATTACTAGGTAGGATTTGTTACATTATTCAATTACTATGCATGCTAAGTATGCATGTCATATGTACATGGGAGTTCGTGTGGTCCTCATTTATTGAATATTTGTAGATAAATTCCTTACTAACATATTACTTGCAAAATTGAATTATTATATTGTATGTTGCTGTTGAAACTGCAAATTCCGAAATACATGTTTTTGAGCTTTGCAAGAACCTAGAAATAAAAAAAATTATTTTTGTTTGGTATCATGCAGACTTTTAAAAGAAACGCTGCCTCTTCACTATTGAAGGGAAGACAGGGTTTCCTGTTGTCGCCACTAACGGACAAAATCTATGAAGTCTAAACTACAGACAGTGTTTAATATTTAGTTAAACTCGAAGTATCATGTTATACCTCTATACCTCTGCGAGGCATCACCTATTTTATTTCAGTCAGCTGTTTCTATAGCCAAAAATAGCAAAACACAGACAGAGTCAGTTTGGTTACTCGGCCTAATATATATTTGTATTTAATGATGATACCTGGATTTGGCGTCGGGGATCGTGGGTTCGACTTGAACAAGTATTGGTGTGACCCACAGATAATTTTTCCGGATCCGGTGTTTATTTCCCATGCAGAGTTGGCCTCAGGCAGGCGACGGGTCGTAAAAAACAGCCAAAACGGCGTACACATGATTCACACCTAAGTGGAATAAAAGCAGGAGGATAATGAAGACGATGATGACTAATTATATCTGATTAAACTACATTTTAATGGCTACTTTTACAGAATGAAGACTTTCATCCTCTTATGTACTATGGCCGCGGCTGCGTTGGCCGCGCCAGCCGATGGCACATACAACCCAGCTTATGACAGCTTCGACGCTGACGAGTTGGTACAGAACGAGCGCCTTTTAAAGAACTACGGAAAATGCTTTTTAGGCCAGGGTCCGTGCACAGCGGAGGGAGCTGATTTCAAAAGTGAGTTTCATTAAATGGAAACACATTATTAATACTCTTATTAATCGTTTAAAATAGCAACGGTTATAAATACAGTGAGTAATTATCGACTGTATACCCAATAGTATGTTCTTTTTAAACTTGTACTTAGTACTAACGAGTAGAAGTAGTATAAGAATTAGAATATAAATTATATACCTATCCTTAGATTTGCAGAGTTTGCACTTTGTTAGTTTTTATTCAGCCTATTTTTGTTAATTGAGAGCTCATGCGTTCATTATTAATTTTAGTCGCGATTAGAGTTTTTAAGGGCAAATAAAATTGTCATTATAAATTGATAGAAGATTTAATATAAAAAATTACCAAACTTCTACACCCAATTTTATTCTTAATCGCCCTTGATGATCTCGATAGTAAACAATATGTCAAACGTAGGGTTCAACCAGATCGAAAAACGGAATGTTCATTATCATTAAGTTTATTTAATATTATTCCATTGTTTAGAGGTTAAGTTTGAAAAATTCTGAGCGAAAATTTCAAATATTTAGCAGGTTCATGATCTAGCTTTCACGGTCACGGGAATAAGTCCTTATCTTAATAAGTTTTTATCGTATTTTTTTGTTTATGGTATTTATAAATGAATGTATAAAATTTAGTCTATAAGCAATCAAGTTCCTGACTGAATTACGTTATAATTAAAAGTATTTAAAGGTTTTTAACTTGTTCCGCTTCCGTGTTCGAGCTTTAAAAGTAACTGTAAAGTTATTTACAAGGATAACACTACGTACTTTTAAGAGTTAAATTTATAAAGGTAAAAACAATCTGATTCATATTGTTAAGTTTCCTCATAAAGTCCGTATTTAAAGTAAACGAAATATGAAATATCACAAGAAGGGATGATGTTCAAAATAGATTTATATTTTCATGTGTATAATTACTGTCACTTCGAAAGGCTACGGTTTAGGTTACACTATTGTAGTTCGAACAGTGATTAGGTTAGTTTTAGGTTACACTATTGTAGTGAACATGGCATCGACAGATTTTCTAAATCTGTCGATGCCATGTACTTACGGTTTCTATTACCCATTTCAGTTGTTTTATGTTGAAGTTAGCTTCTATACTTATTATCAAGGAAATAAAGACTAGTGTGACAGGATATGCTACCAGTATTCCTATGCCTAGGCTCTATGATTTTATTTGTAATGTAATGTAAATTTCTTTGAACTTAATGCTAATTGTAAGACAATAACGATTATAATAACGTGAACACATGTACATACATTGCAATTTCATTTGCTTGATACATTTAACTAAATGTTACTCTTGGTTTTTTCCAGAAACGATTCCTGATGCTTTAAGGACAACTTGCGCTAAATGCACGCCCAAACAAAGGAAACTCATAAGGACTGTTGTTAACGGATTCCAGACGAAATTGCCCGATATTTGGGATCAGCTTGTGAAACATGAAGACCCTACCGGCCAATACAAGGAGTCCTTCAACAGATTCCTGAAGGCAACTGATTAACGCACTAACGAAGATACTTGTCTTCATTAATATATAATTGTTTGATCATCACAGAAAATGTTCTACATGAAACATTTTAATTTACTTATAGACTTAATGTTATCTATATTTACATGTTATTAAAGTATTTAAATTTTTAAGCCTCTCTTTTGCCTCATCGTTGTTAGAATTTCTTCCTTCCCTCCCATTCACTCATTAGTGTTCATGGGTCTGGTTTTTGTTCGGCATCATCGAAGAAAGCTTAAATTTCGTCATGTGTATAGAAAAGAATTGAAAGTATCAGAAGTGGAAGTATGGACTGGCCCCCGAGTCCAGGCCTTCTTTAAAGCGACCTAATGGTGTTACATTATGTTTCGATGACTGAACACAACTTGGAGTTAAATATCCATATGTGGATCACTTTATAAAAGGTAGAGTTGTGTTACTACTCTGTTAGCAGGTAGTTAACACAGTTATGTTAGTGTCCCCAGCTTCTCGTTTCTGCGTCAGGCTGGAAAGATGTTATAGACATCTGAGCTGGAAAGATGTTATAGTGATGCCATCAAACCTCCTTACAAGCTATTGCCCGATTAGTCTCCTTTCTTGTGTAGGGAAGCATTACTAGCGACCTATTTTTAACAGACCTAAGATCTATGTTCACTCAAGCAGCCAAATTCAAATAGTGCAATTCTTCTATTCTATTCTAACAAAACGCGTCAGTCAATCTAAATCTTTATGTACATAATGTCCCGTTTTTCGATATTGCAAAGGCGTTTGTCAAAGTCTATCACAATTTCTAATTTTTCAAGCTACAGGTACACACTCAAAATGTGCAATATGACCACTATTTAAGCCTTCTTGCAGAAACGATCTTATGATATCGATAAGAAGGCAATCTTCCACGAGCAAGCCCTTAATTGGTTAATTATCACCACTGATTGGTGGTGATAATTGAAGTGGTGATATCTATCGATATTGGAACATAAAATATATTCATACCTATTGTATGTATATGTAAACATTTTGTTTCTTTTTTATCGACGTGGCATTCTGATTATGACGGTATATTTTTATAACTACTGGGAAGTTTTATGCGTGCATTTTCCCTCTGACCGATTTAAACTTTTACAAAACATTTATCAGAGGCAGCGATCATCAAGAGGCAAATTTGATATATTTAGTTATTTATTCGGTCTGCCAGTAGTTGCTACATGAAAAACAATAATATATGAAACAAGAATAATGTTACTTACAGCTCAATGTACATACATATATTTTATTAAGAGGCAAACACTGCATGCAATTAAAAAACAAATAAAAGTTTTGACCTATAACCTTTATTTGAATCACTTTATTTTTCAGAAATTAACCTCTCTCGAAAAAACAATAGGTCACATCACGAAAATTAGCATTTTTGGAACTAAAACAAACGGTGAAGCATTTAAGGGGCTCGTCCCTGACAAATGCGTCAATAGGCAGTTAACGTTTTACGAAAATCAAAGAAGTTACTTGATTAAATGACTCTAAAAAACCTCTTTTGCTTAACAGATTAGTCTACAATTACACCGCATCATATTTCTAAAACAATTTTTTATTTCTTAGAAAAAAAATCGTCAACATTGGTATAAAACCTAGATATCGCTCTTTTCTATTTTAAGTATTTACGCTATTTTGTTAATATATTTGAAGATGTTTTTGCTTAAATCGTGACACGAATGTATGAGTAATACTTTCACCGCGACGTAAGAAGTAATCAAAGGAAGTACCCAAGTGTTATTTTTTATAAAACTTTTTTCTCTCTTTTTATTTAATTTAATTAACATCAGCTCTCGTTTGTAGATGTATATCATTGATTCGATCTCATAAATGTATCTGTTGTATAAGTTTCACCTCGAACACTGAAAGTAATTCAAACGTTGCATTCACATTTTTAAATAAAATTAAATATAGAAATATGAATTAAACAAATATAAGCAATTTAAAAGACATAACGCTGAAGTTCTACTAACTTTAAATAGTTTTAAAATTGACGACCCCGAACGGTGTAGTGGGTAGTGTACCTGCCTTCTGCGTCAGAGGGTGTGGGTTCGATCCACACAACTGGAAAAATATTGTGTGATGAACATTTTTTCTAGTGTCTGGGTGTTTATTAGGGCGAGCGAAGCGAGTCCTAACACTGTTCGACAATCTGAGCACTTTTGTGGTACACTTTACGAACAAACTATCAGGTCCATAGATTTGTGCCTTAACACAGTAATTTAACTTTATATCTAGATGTGTTATCTGACAAAAAATGTAATTTGTTTTTTTTTTTTTATATTTATTGGACACAATGTTATTGTACTACTAACGCCATCTGTTAGAAAAATAAAGAGTTAATCATCGGCAACCAATAAAACTAAGGCTGACATTTTTTGAACATGTTTTGCAATGACTATTAGTGAGCACCTACAAAAATAATACAGGAATGCGTGAACGATTTCACCTACATTAAGTATATTAATGAAATTTTTACAGCGAAACAAAGAATAAAAATACTACAGTAAAATGACGCGAAGACTCACATTAACAGGCCGTAAAGAACGTGAAAAAAACCGTTTGTTGATGAATCAGACGAGAGAACGTTAGATAAGAGAACGAGAGGCAGAATCATATTTATATCACGAAAATTTGATTTTTTTAGAATTTTGTAACGACCCAATAATATTAGTAAATTTAAGTAAAAAAGTATATATATATTGTTTAGAAAAAATGTAGGGTACAAATTTTATCAATCGTGTAATTATTAATGTTAAGGCAGCTTTGATATATCACAAAAGTAATAATCCTTGGTATCGTGATATTGCAATCAATGAAAATAATTCACAATGCCTACCTGATAATGAGAGTATTTTCCAAAAAAAATTATCGAAGTAATAAATATTATTAATCTCAACATTTTTATGGAGAAAAGGGACAAACTAGCAGGAAGGAGGCTCACTTGATGGTAAGTGATTATCGCCACCTATGAACAAATGCATCACCGAGGGTTTATAAATGGAGGTAACGGTTCGTAAACACCGCCAGCAGGAGTTGGTTGTACAGAGTGTTTGTGCGAGGCAGGAAATGCCTTGAAAATCGCGCTGTTGTGGAATGCTAGACATCGAGGTAGTGTAGATGAAATTTTTGGATTTAAGGTAATTTTTGGTATTAATCGAAAGTTGAAAGAATACGTCAACCAGTTGCTTATATTCCAGCTTATCATAATTGTTCTAAGGCAAAACTAGGCGCAGAAATATTAGTTGGCTTTGAACCATATATTATTTAATCGATTGGATGAAAATTTATGTTACGTTCAATTAATGTTTGGGTTGAAAATGGGTTAGTCAATGGAGCATTAGGTTGTGTCGAAGATATAGTATACTAGCAAAAAGCTGAGCTTTGTGAGGGCTCGCGTAGTTTTTCTAACATACGGTAATAATTATTATGACAATTAAATGTTTGTTTGTTTGTATATTCTTTATTGTACTAGAGGTTTGTACAAAGGCGAACTTAGTGCCTAAATAGCATTTTCTTCCAGTTAACCTTTGGTGGTTGAGTACAAGTTACGGTTATTAATTGCTGAAGTTCACCAGTTTATAACAGTATATCGATTAAAACCTCTTCGACCAAGTGTCCGCCTTACCGTGGCGGAGGCGCTTAGTAGCCGTGGCTTGGTCACCCACGGCGAAGCTTAGAGGAACCTATACTGATTACCTATACTGAACCTATAGGATTGGCCCTCTCGGGCCGGCCTGTGGTGTAAGGCCGGCCGGAGAGGGCCAATCCGAGTGGGCTCACGTGGGCCCACTCTTGATGCATGCTCGAGGGTGCAGGGGACAGGTCAAGGGTGGTGGAGACCAGGAGCCACTCTCCCTGTATTTTGCTACCGAGGAGGGGTCGCCGGGGCAGAGGAGTGCCGGTATAGCGTTTAGCCGCCCTCCCTATCCTCCGCGACTCGGCGGGGCTGCACTGTTGATGCAGTGTTGGTGGTGATGCAGGTTGGCCACGCCAAGGCTTGGGACTAGAGAACGTTGTGTAAAAAATGTCCTATAATATTTATAAAAATAAAATAAAAAAATCATTACATTAATCATACCGCGCGCTAGTAGAATAGTGCTATGACAGTATAAGCACAGTTTAGCTGCCAATAATTCACATGTATTCATACTTTAGGATTAATATTTATTTTTAATGCTAGTCCCTGCACTCGTGAACATGTGAAGTTACATGACGACAGTTATTGCTAAAAATGCTCGCCGTGATGTCATCAGCCGCTTAGCTGAGTTGGTAAAGGGTAACACGCAATTACCCAGAACACCCAGGTTTGATCCCTGCAGCGCCTCAAGTTTTTATTTATTTATCTAGAAAGATTCATATTTTATGAATTCAGACCGTTCTTCTCCATAAACCTTATATGAGGTATTTGATCAATTTTATTGGTTTAGCAGTTCAATGTGCAGTATGTTTTCGATAATATAAGTACATGTATTCAATACGTCAAATAATGGCGTGCAAATCGATTATGCCAATTATTACCGATGACTTGATTGGATGGGATTTTAAAATTGTGTGCTCAACATTATAGCATCAGAACCTAGGATCTGTGTCTAAGATACCCTTCAGATGTTAATTTTTTTCCTCATAAATTTTGTACTTAATTAAGCAGATAACTTTCTATTGTGATGTTTTTCTATCTCGCCGATATGGAAAACAACCAGAGAACTAGAAATACGTAATGATCCTCCTTATGTTTGCATAATTTTTATTGCACAATCTGACATTTAAAAAAGCTGTAGAAACAAGAGGTGTGACATTTAATACAATTCTATTTTATTACCGATATTTATAACTGGGTCAAACGATAGGTGGTCGACCTTTGTTTACCGAAACCCGTCTGATCCTAGATTATAACAGGCTTTGTACATGAAAAGTTGGCAAGAAAGCATATGGCCGCGCATAGACACAAACCATGAAGTAGTACCTCAGTCACCAGACGC